AGAGAGAGAGAGAGAGAGAGAGAGAGAGAGAGAGAGAGAGAGAGAGAGAGAGAGAGAGAGAGAGAGAGAAGCAGAGAGAGAGTGACAGAGAGACAGAGAGACAGAGAGAGTCTGCTGACCTTCTTTCCTAACTTTCACCCATGCTTGCTCTAACCCTGCGGTGAGCTGGTCAAACACTGCTGCACGGATGACAAGTGCTCCTCTATGTCTCTGCCTTCTTCTGTGTTGCAGAGCTTTTCCCCCATAACCACCTACACTCTTGTGCCCGATGCACAGTCTTGCTCCCCACAAATCCCTGCCATAGTGCAAATCCTGCAATCCATCCATCCATCACATCAGCAGTAGAAGAAAATCAACACAAGCTTGCCATCATTACCAAGCCACACGAGCATGCAGCAACAAAACCACAGGCAGCGACACCAAAATTCCCACAAGAGGTCATAATGGTAAGCAAAATCTGAAGTAAGTTGTGCAACCTGCACCCCAGTCTAATGGTGTATTCGAGATAAAGATGAGCAACGGGTACCCAGACCCACACCCACCCGCACCCACCCCACCCCCGAGGGATTGGGTCAGGTGTGGGTCTGGATATGCTGGCTTGGGTAGGATGAGGGTGGGTCTAGGCGAGCGAGCTTGAGTGGGTGACGGGCAGGTCAGTGTTACGCCTGGGTCACCCGAATGCGTGGCGGGTGAGCGCTAGGCCTGGGTCACCCGACCCACAGACCCAAGACAACCCATGAGACCCCCCCCCTCCCCTCATACATATTTTCCAGCTGCGGTTCACCTGTGGACTTCAAAAGTTGGAGGCTCAGGAAACGGAAAGTCTCTACCCAGGGGCCCCCTGGAAAAAAAACATTGCGGTCCTCGTAACAAAAGGAGCGACGCCAGTGGCAAATCGAAATTTGGGATCCTCCTTGAAAAAATGTGTTGCGCTCTACTGGTGCCAGCATGACCACGGCTGTTGCATACCGTATAGGTGCAGACCAGAACAAGAACCGACCTTTCAATACAAGGTATAAGATAGCCCAGCGGAAGACTTAGATACCAGTGATCCGAACAATCAATGTTGTAATGCAGCCCTGAACATACATCATCATCATCATTTCATAGTGTGAATGGGTCTGGCGCTTCACACAGGAAGACAGCGCCAGCCCAGAACATGCAC